CGACACATAGGGCTCCTCACTGTCGGAGTCTGGTGGCAGCTCCAACGGCTCCTGCTTGGCCATAACACAGGAGTAACTTGTGACCTTCCCTGCCAGCTTTCCCATTGTCGTATCTTATGGGGATCCAGAAGAGAAGGCCTCAAATGGCAATTATGGGACTGCAGGATGGGGCAACTATTGTAAGTGCAAGCTGGTTGCCAAGCATTCAGATTACAATCATGTGACTGGGGGAGGTTGCTGGGACATTAAAATCTGGACAAGTCATACGTATTGCTCATTGAACGCCATCACAACTTCGAACAATTGCTGGTTGAGTAGTGTATCTGAAGAGTACTTTTAATAGCTTTAGCGGATTAAGGAACATTAAGAAAAAAATTGTGGGATCAAACCAAAGTTTCCCAGAGCTTCCAACAGGATTTTTTTTTATTGTCGCTTTATTACATTAATAACTAGTCTCCATCCACTCGTTCATGTTCGTAAGCAATTGTTGTTCAGAATATAATTTTGATTATTAGCCACTTGGTTTATTTCTCAAATTCCCACTTAAGGCTACATTGATGTAAATGTATTGGTTGCATCAACTGAAAATAAACTGAGAACCTTTGAACTGGTTACCAGAAAAAAATAAAGTTAAACGACTGATAAATGCTGAAAATCCACCCCACGTACATTCATGTATATTTATACGCAACATAATGTTTACACTCACTCACCTGGGTACAATTGCTTAGTGGGGGCACTGAGCTGTGCATTTTTTGAAACTCTGTAGGCAACATCTGATCCTTTGGAATTCTTTCTGTTTATGCAAATTCCTGATGTTTTTGATATTCCTTCTGGAGATTTGTGAAATTCTAGTGCTTTCAGTACATCAACTGGTTCAGCTGAAACATAAGAGGAAAAAAAGAATTTAGAATATTCATAGTTCTTCCAAAATATTACCTATCCTTTAAAAAGGGTGCATTTATATGGAGTTCTGTATCATTTCTCATACTATGACAAAAAAACTCTAAGCAATCTCAGTGATCCAGCCACAAGGCCAACCTTGGTCCACAAAATTAATTCTATCATAATTCCCGAAGGCCAATAAAATATTGACTTGAGCATTAACAGGCTGCTGTCTGCCTGGTCTGCAGATGAATTGTGAATTGACACCAGAAATGCGAACACTTATAGAGCGAAGTGTCTACACCTCATTTTTTCTTTATTTTTTTTAATCAAATACTTTTTTATTTTCCATTTTTATAACATACAATCACATGTATACTATTACATAGCCAATATCCTATTGTATTAAATAGTAATTACATCAGTTCCCCTTGTCATCAATGCCCATTATTAGCTCTTCTGCTCTCCATACACCTCTTTCTTCTGCCTCTCTCCTACCTCCTTTCTTCCCTCCATCTCCTTTCCTACTCTACTACCC